TGTGCCCAGCATTTATAGACAGTTTCCATTAGTCCTCATCCTCTATAAAGTGAGGGCCACCATGCAGCTGTCCTATATGAGGAAACCGCACCTGGCCAGGGACAGCAAGGAGATGCTGAAACCAGGGTTCTCCGGGGTGCCTGACCCCATCATGCTCCACAGCCTCCTTTGGGCAAGACAGACCAGGGAAGCTCTGTGAACCTTGCTAAAGACTTGGGACTTTGGCCGGGTACAGTGGTTTACGCCTGTAATCCCAGCACTTTGGGAGGCCGAGGTGGGTGGATCACCTGAGTTCAGGAGTTCAAGACCAGCCTGACCAACATGGTGAAACCCCCTCTCTACTAAAAATACAAAAATTTGCCAGGCAAGGTGGCATGCACCGTAATCCTAGCTAGTCGGGAGGCTGAGTCAGGAGAATCGCTTGAACCTGGGAGGCGCAGGTCACAGTGAGCAGAGATCGTACTACTGTACTCAAGCCTGAGTAACAGAGTGAGACTCTGTCTCAAAAAAATAAATAAATAAATAAATAATAAAAATAAAAAGAGGAGGATGGACTTGATCCCAACACTTCAGTCCACCTCTAATGTAGGTATCTGGCTCCTAGGAAGGGCCTCTGGTCCTGTCTACCTGCAGGGTAGGTGTAATCAGAATTTTTTCAGCTGCAAGTGCCAAAAATCCAAGTCATACTTATTGGCTTATGTGAAAAAGAAGTGCATTGCCTTATATAACAGAAAAGTTAAGGATTTCAGGCACAGCTTGATCCAGGTACTAAAATGATCTCAAGAATATGTCTCTTCGTATCTCGCCTCTGCAGGCCTCTGTATAGATGACTCATCCTAGCCAGCTTTTTTGTTCTTTTTTTTTTTTTTTTCAGACGAAGTCTTGCTCTGTTGTCCAGGCTGGAGTGCAGTGGCGTGATCTTGGGTTACCAAAACTTCTACCCCCCGGGTTTGAGCGATTCTCCTGCCTCAGCTTCCCAAGCAACTGGGACTACAGGTACATGCCACCATGCCTGGCTAATTTTCATATTTTTAGTGGAGACAGGTTTTGCCATGTTGGCCAGGCTGTTCTCAAACTCCTGGCCTCAGGTGATCTGCTCCCCTCGGCCTCCCAAAGTGCTGGGATTACAGGCGTGAGCCACCGAGCCTTGCTCTGACCAGCTTTTCCTGCATGCCAATAAGATGTCACCAGCAGTGCTGGGCATACATCCTATCAGCTTCCTAACCCCCAGTGGAAAGAGGACATCTTTTTCACAGCAGCTCCAAGATGAGTCTTGGGCACAAGTTGAATCAAGTGAACCAATGAATACAGTTGCTTTGGCTGGGAAGCACAGGTCATGTGACTATGCCAGGTCCCTTCCTGAACCTCATGGACTGCCTGTAAGGAAGGGTTGGTTCCCCAAAAGAAAATCCAATAAAGAGGCAACGGGGCCAGTCACGGTGGCTCATGCCTGTAATTGCAGCACTTTGAGAGGCTGAGGCAGGAGGACTGCTTGAGCCCAGGAGGTCGAGACCCACCTAGGCCACATAGCGAGATCCCATCTCTACCAAAAATTTAAAAAATTAGCTAGGTGTGGTGGGCATGTGTCTCTGGTCCCGGGTACTCGGGAGGCTCTGAGGATGGATGGGAGGATCGCTTGAGCCTGGGAGTCTGAGGCTGCAGTGAGCTGTGATCGTGCCATTGCACCCCAGCCTGAGCAACAGAGCGAGACCCTGTCTCAAAAAAAAAAAAAAAAAAAAGAGGCAATGGTAAGAGGCTAGACCAGCAGGAACAACAGAGGCAAAGGTCCCCCTTTTTCTTTTAATTGAAACTGGGTCTGCCTCTCACCCAGGCTGGAGTGCAGTGGTACAATCACAGCTCACTGTTTAGTCTGGAATTCCTGGGCTCAAGCAATCCTCCCACTTCAGCCTCCTAAGCAGCTGAGAACACAGGCGCATGCCACCACAGCTGGCTAATTTCAATTTTTTTTTTTTTTAGAGATGGGGTCTTGCTATGTTGCCCACACTGGTCTCAAACTCCTAGGCTCAAGTTAACTTTCACTGCTCCTGGGCAAATGCCCTCTGACACCCCTTATAAGGAAACCCTTTGAGAAGGCTGGCCCCCTCTCAAACATGGAGAGCCTTGCCAGGGCCTTCCCCACTCACTGCTGTAACTAATTCTTATGCTGCATGGACATCTGCTTCCCAGAACCTCCACCCACCGGCCTTGCCCCTGTCCTTTGTGGCAGCCCCAAGCCTGCTCACCCCTTCCCATGCTGCGGCCTGCTTGGCCTCTGGAAGCAGCACTGTCTGCCTGCACCTTGCCCTCTCCAGGGCCGTCAGGCTCACCACCTTCAGGGGCCTGGTTTTCAGGTCCTTCACCAATGCACTTGTCCTGTGTGTGGACATGAGGCCCTCCCGAGCTGAAGTCAGCGTGTGCTTCAGTTTCTGCATCTGTAAAATTGAGATAGTATTTGCTACCCAGGGGTGCTATGAGGATTACGTGAACATAGTATAGTCTCTAGAACAGTGCACAGCACACAGTAGGCACTCAATAAATGCCAGTTATTATTCCTGTCACTTCTGTTGGAGACTGCACATCAGAGTACCCACCTCACCTTGGTCTAGTCCCGTCCAGTTGCAGGCCTTTGAGTACAGTACAACCCTAAGGTTTTTACAATTGCATAATCTATAGAACATTTACAGATTTATTGTCTCGTTTGAGTTTAGTAACTTTTTTGTTGTTGTTGAGATGGAGTCTTACTCTGTTGCCCAGGCTGGAGTGCAGTGGTGCAATCTTAGCTCACTGCAACCTCTGCCTCCTGGGTTAAGGCGATTCTTCTGCTTCAGCCTCCTGAGTAGCTGGAACTACAGGCGCCCACCACCACGCCCAGCTAATTTTTTTTTTTTTTTTTTTTTTTTGAAATGGAGTCTTGCTCTGTCACCCAGGCTGGAGTGCAGTGCTGCGATCTCGGCTCACTGCAAGCTCCGCCTTCCGGGTTCACGCCATTTTCCAGCCTCAGCCTCCAGAGTAGCTGGGACTACAGGCTCCCGCCACCACACTCAGCTCATTTTTTGTATTTTTAGTAGAGACAGGGTTTCACCATGTTAGCCAGGATGGTCTCGATCTCCTGACCTCGTGATCTGCGCACCTTGGCCTCCCAAAATGCCGGGATTATAGGCGTGAGCCACCGCGCCCGGCCAGAGCCTCATAACTTTGTGAGGTGGGCAGGACAAATCTTATTAATTCCCCATTTACCAATGAGAAAACGAGGTTCAGAGAGATCAGCCCTCTTGCCCAAGATCGCACAGCCAGTCAGTGGCAGAGGTGGCACTTGAACCCATCCCTTGCTGTTCCTTGAACCTCTCCACATGACAGGGCTGTCCCTCAGCCTACAGGTCACCCCTCTAGCCTTGCCTGTTGGCTCTTCCTCATCCTTTTGGGCCCAGCCCAGATACTTTGTAAACAAGAATGACAAGAGCTAACTTTTTTTTTTTTTTAATGAGACAGAGTCTTGCTCTTTCACCCAGGGAAGACTGGGTGATGCAGTGGCTCAGTCTTGGCTCACTGCAGCCTCTGCCTCCCGGGTTCAACCTATTCTCATGCCTTAGCTTCCTGAGTAGCTGGGATTACAGGTATGCATCACTACACCACGCTAAGTTTTGTATTTTTAGTGGAGATGCGGTTTTACTATGTTGGCCAGGCTGGTCTCAAACTCCTGACCTCAGGTGATCCGCCAGCCTTGGCCTCCCAAAGTGCTAGGATTACAGGCGTGAGTCACCGCGCATGGCCGAGAGCTAACGTTTATTGAGCACCCGCCATTTTCTAGATGAGGTCCTTACTGACTTTCTTGGGTTATTTTAGGTAATCATACCCATACCTCTTACGTGGCAGGTATGACTGTTACAGAGGGAGAAACCGAGGCTGAGAAAGGCTAAGTAGCGGCCACACGTCACTCAGCAGGTGACAGGCTGCGGTCGCACTCATGACATAGTCTGACTCTAGAGCAGGCCTTTCCTGCCCGCTGTTGCTGTCTCCAGAAGCCTCTCTGAATCTAAGGGTGGGAACTACTCCTCCTTGCCTTCCAGCCTTCCAGCCTTCGCCCCCCAGGCTGGGCTCTTCACGGGCGGGAGCCTGTCTGGCTCGCCTGCCTCGCTCGACCCTGTAGCCTCTGGCACGAAGTAGGTGCCCGTGATGCCGAATTATTTCAGCAGGAGGGCAGGGGTGTTCCCGATGAAGACACGAGACCAGGGAGGAGAAGCGACTCCCGGGGCCACCCGCCGCACTCCATGACATAGTCTGACTTCCAGAGCAGGCCTTTCCCTGCCCGCTGTTGCTGTCTCCAGAAGCCTCTGAATCTAAGGGTGGGAACTACTCCTCCTTTGCCTTCCAGCTCTCCAGCCTTCGCCCCAGGCTGGGCTCTTCACGGGCGGGAGCCTGTCTGGCCTGCCTGCCCGCCGACTTCCGTAGCCTCTGGCACGAAGCGCAGGTGTGCCCGTGATGCCGGAATTATTTCAGCAGGAGGGCAGGGTGTTCCTGGCGAAGACACGAGACCAGGAGGAGAAGCGACTCCCGGGGCCACCCATGTGTAGATCTCGGAGCCAGGCAAGATGCCAGGTCCCTTGGGTCCGGGAGCGCGCTCGGGGCTCCTCCTCGTCCGTGCCCCCCGCGCCCCCCGCGCTCGCGTCTGCGGGGTCGGGAGGAGGGGGCGGCGCCGCCGGGCCGGGGCGGGCACCAAGGCCTGGCGGGCGGGCCTGGAGCGCTTTCGTGCCTGCCAGGGAAAGGCTGGAGAGGAGGCTAGGGGCGGACGCAGGGAGAAAAGAAGCAACGGGGTGTTTTTGCCTTTTGACATTTGAAAAAGAAGTGCAGATTCGCTTCCCGGAGCCGGGCTGGCAGCCTGCGCTATGGTTAGGAACCAACGTGGGGCGCGGGCTGGGGCAGGGGAGGGAGGCGGCCGTAGCGGGGACCCGGGAGCGCAGGGCGGGCCTGGAAGAGCTCCGCCCCAAGGGGCGCGGCCACCCCGGAGGCGGGCGCACCGCTGCTTCTCATTCATTGTCTTGACAAGAGCATCCTCAGCGGGCGAGTCCCCGGCTCCTCCAGCGCCTTCCTCCTCTTCCTCCTCCTCCTCCACCTCCGGCTTTTGGGGGGTCACTGTCCTCTCTCTGCAGCAGGTGAGGCTGGGCCCAGGAGGCGCGGGTGGACCGGGGCGAGGGCCACCTGTGGGGCGGCGCGCGTGTGGGAGCCGCGGGTTGCGGGGGCGCGCGGCTGTCACCGCGACCCAGCCGGGGCCAGGGAGCGGGCGCAGCAGCCCGTGGGGGGACGCTGCCTGGAGTGGGGGCCGCCGGGGCCCCAGAGCGCTCTGCGGAGGCGAGGGCGAGGGACCACCGCGGCCAAGATGGAGGTGGGCGGCCGGGGGTCAGCACAGTGTCAAGGGCCCGACTCCCCCCGGAATTAAGTCTCTGGGAGGGTGGGGACGGGGGCAGGGTGGGGTGAGTGGGGCAGCTGCCCTGGGCTTGGAGACAGGAAGGGGTTGAGAGCAAAACAAGAAAAGACCAAGTTCCCCTTTCCGTGGTTTCCGGGCCTGGTACCTGCGGCGGGGGAGGAGGCAGGGTGGGGCGATGGCTTCCTGTCCCCCACCTCTGGTCTGGGGCTCCTCTCTCTCCAGACCCTGGCTGCTCCTCAAGACTGGGGCTCTTCACGTACGCTCCTCACCGCTCTTTGGGCAGGCCGACCTAGCAGCCTCTTTGGGAGTCCTGGGGTGGCCGGGGGTGCTGGAGCCCCCAGTGAGTAGGCGAGGCTGAGGCTAGGGGCAGAGGCTCTGGGCACGGTACCCTCTGAGCGGCAGCACAGGCCCCTTCCCTGAGCAGGAGGGTGATGCGGTGGCACAAGGTCGTCCCTGGAGTTCCTTGCTCCCCACCAGACACTGGGGGAAACCATCCTAGCTGGACATCAGAGCAGTTGGAGTGGCTTCTCCCTTCCTGTGTGCAGTTCACATAGGGGTGGAGATGGCTCTTAAGGGCACCTGCTTTTCTGAGCGAAGGCGAGAGGCAGAGGTATGGGGAGGAGAAGATACTGGGACCTGAGCCAGAGACCTGCTGGGGAAGCCATCCTGCCGCCTCACTCCCCTCGGGCAGCCCCCACACCACTTCCTCCTGTGTCCAGCCCCGCACCGGCAGGGGAAGGAGGCCAGCCCCTGTCCCTGCCTTTAGGAAGCGCTGTGTGGGTGTGAGGGAGGTGGGCTCTGGACACTGTAACTAAGAGAGAACCCACCCTCAGAGCCATCTGGGCTGATGACGCCTGAGTCTGAACCATTAGGAAGGACGGGCTCTGCATCCATCAGCCAGTCAGTCAACAAACATGCAGTGGGGGCAACACCACACCAGGCTCTGTTGCAGAGGCTGAGGGTACAGATTGAGAGTGTGACTCAGAGTGGCCTGGGGCCAGGGAGAAGGGGGCTTGCAGGTTAGATGGAAGGAGAGGCTGGGGAAGGCGAGCAGGCATAAGCCACAGAGGAAAGGATAGGGAGCCCCTGGAGATGATGCTGGGACCTCAAAAGCCAGACTGAGGGGTGTCCTGGGGGAGGTGGGGACCACTGGAAGATCAGAGTTGACCCGAAGGGAGAAATGCTCTTATCCTGTGTGCCCCTAGAATGAGCCGGCAGGTGGTCCGCTCCAGCAAGTTCCGCCACGTGTTTGGACAGCCGGCCAAGGCCGACCAGTGCTATGAAGATGTGCGCGTCTCACAGACCACCTGGGACAGTGGCTTCTGTGCTGTCAACCCTAAGTTTGTGGCCCTGATCTGTGAGGCCAGTGGGGGAGGGGCCTTCCTGGTGCTGCCCCTGGGCAAGGTGAGCCCCTGGGGCCCTGGGGGTAGCAGCTTCTCCACCCGACCCATGGCTCTGTGGAGGTCCTGATTAGGTGACTGTCACCAGGCCTTCCAGGGCCTGTGTTGCCATCTGGAAAACTGAGCTAGGCCCCATGAGCCTTACACTTCCTCTAGCTCCTCTGTGCTGTGGCTGTGTGGAAACTGATGCTCAGAAGGAGTCAACACAAGATGGGTCACACCAGTGACCAGGACTACAGACAGTCCTGCAGGCCCATGACCAGCCCTTCTGAGCCTCAGCCTGGGGCTGGAAACAGAGAGGGCTGTGATGGGGTCTGGGGGCCCCCGACTGCAGACAGTCCTGCAGACCCATGACCAGCCCTCCCCAGCCTCAGCCTGGGGCTTTCTCCCCATGGAAACACAGAGAGGGTTGGGATGGGGTCTGGGGGCCCTGGCAGCATTCTCAGGGTTGGGAGGGACTCTGGCTCTGGGCCTGTCTTAGGACCTAGCAACTCTGGCCCCCAGCTCACAGGCAGGGATGATGCAAGAGGCGCTGTCCCCGACCCCAGCCCTGCCCTCCCCGGGAGCCTGCTGCCCTCCCCAGGAGCCTGCTGCCCTCTCCGCTGGCTATCTGCTGCCCCACACCCCCAGCACACTCCTGTGCTCTTTGAGGGGTAAGACAGGAAGGGGAGATGGGCCCCAAGTTGTTACCTTAAAAGGGCCGATGGAAGCAAAGAGAAGAGGAAGTGGTTGTCAGGCTGAGAGATGGGCCCGCACCCCGCACGGCTGTCACACAGGAAGCCCTGCTGAAGCAGCTGTCCCCGGAAGAAGCCATTTCCAAACCTCTGCTCCTGCCTGGGGCCAGTTACGACAGGCTCCCCGGCCCCTCTCCTTTTGGGAGGACCCACGTCTGCAGCCCCACCTCTCACACTCACTCTCTGGGGAGCCGCCCCTACCCCCCCAGCCCTCATACACCTGTCCTGACTCCAGGGCCAGTTGTGCCCATGGAAGCCTCACTCGGGAAAGCTGGGGTGGGGGTGCCAACCCTAAGGGCAGAGACAGACTGAGACAGAGACGGGCGGGAACTCCGCCAGGGTTTCGCACGGGCCCCATCCTCTGCTATGCGTGGCCAGCCCTCCTGGGGTTTGCCCACGCCATTTGGGGACTGGAACAAGAGAAGAAGAACCCCCCCCACCCCAGGCCCTGGTCCAGCCCCCAGGGACCCCACAGCTTTCTTTCCTCTCTGGGCCTCTCTGAAGGAGGTGTGGGGAGGTTGGATTGGGTTTGGGGGGCAAAAGCACCTCCATCCAAGGCCCTGCTGTGCCTTTAGACTGGACGTGTGGACAAGAATGCGCCCACGGTCTGTGGCCACACAGCCCCTGTGCTAGACATCGCCTGGTGCCCGCACAATGACAACGTCATTGCCAGTGGCTCCGAGGACTGCACAGTCATGGTGAGTGGTGGTGGGGACCCATGGGCTGGGAGAGGGGCTCTAGGATGGGATCTGACATTTGGAGTCCTGAAGACTCACTGGCCCCTTCTCTGCAGGTGTGGGAGATCCCGGATGGGGGCCTGGTGCTGCCCCTGCGGGAGCCTGTCGTCACCCTGGAGGGCCACACCAAGCGTGTGGGCATTGTGGCCTGGCACCCCACAGCCCAGAATGTGCTGCTCAGTGCAGGTGCTGCGGGAGGAGGGGCCTGGGGGTGGCTGGTGGCCTGCAGTGGATGAGGGCAGGAGGCTCATGGCTTCTGACACTGTGGGGAATGTGCAGGTTGTGACAACGTGATCATGGTGTGGGACGTGGGCACTGGGGCAGCCGTGCTGACGCTGGGCCCAGAGGTGCACCCAGACACGATCTACAGTGTGGACTGGAGCCGAGACGGAGGCCTCATTTGTACCTCCTGCCGCGACAAGCGCGTGCGCATCATTGAACCCCGCAAATGCACCGTCGTAGCTGTGAGTCACCATCCACCCTGACCCTTGACCCTACAGACTTTGTCCTTCTTATCCACCATCAACCAGGCTCTTGGATGCTGCCCTCTCTCGCCTCCACGTGGGACTGGCCCCGTAGGGTGTGTATGGGTGCCTGACTTACCACCTCCCTTTCCTTGCAGGAGAAGGACCGTCCCCATGAGGGGACCCGGCCGGTGCGTGCAGTGTTTGTGTCAGAGGGGAAGATCCTAACCACGGGCTTCAGCCGCATGAGTGAGCGGCAGGTGGCGCTGTGGGACACAGTGAGTGCCGGGGGCAGGAAGCCGAGGGTCCCCAGGCTGGGAACCAGACTGGAAGTTTCGTCCCTGCTCTGCCACTTGCCTGGCAGGATGGCCATGGGCCTCAGTTTACCCAGGCATGAGATGGGTGTTCCCACTGGTTGGTCAGGAGAGCCCTCACAGGTCACTGCCCAGGGAAGACCACCATCCCAGGGCTGGGATGTTACCTCTCACCTGTGTCTACAGAAACACCTGGAGGAGCCGCTGTCCCTGCAGGAGCTGGACACCAGCAGCGGTGTCCTGCTGCCCTTCTTTGACCCTGACACCAACATTGTCTACCTCTGTGGCAAGGTGACCTCATCAGACGGGGTGGGGGTGGGAGATGGGCAGGATGGGTCTGGAGAGGGCCAGAGCAGTGGGCATCCGCTGGTATTGACCCTCCCTCCGCACCCGCCACCTACAGGGTGACAGCTCGATCCGGTACTTTGAGATCACTTCTGAGGCCCCGTTCCTGCACTATCTCTCCATGTTCAGTTCCAAGGAGTCCCAGCGGGGCATGGGCTACATGCCCAAACGTGGCCTGGAGGTGAACAAGTGTGAGATTGCAAGGTGACTGACTCCCGACCCTGACCGCAGCATGCTCCTTGGGCAGTCCCAAGCCCGCCCAACCAGGCTGTGGGCCCCGCTTACCTTCCCCTTCCCACAGGTTCTACAAGCTGCATGAGCGGAGGTGTGAGCCCATTGCCATGACAGTGCCTCGAAAGGTGATGCTCCCCTGCCCCACCCTGGGCTTTGGACTGTGCACCGACTTCGCGGTCTTGCAGGGGGGTGTCCTGGCATAAGCGCTTTCCTCACTAGCCCTGGCCTTGCCCACAGTCGGACCTGTTCCAGGAGGACCTGTATCCACCCACCGCAGGGCCCGACCCTGCCCTCACGGCTGAGGAGTGGCTGGGGGGTCGGGATGCTGGGCCCCTCCTCATCTCCCTCAAGGATGGCTACGTACCCCCAAAGAGCCGGGAGCTGAGGGTCAACCGGGGCCTGGACACCGGGCGCAGGAGGGCAGCACCAGAGGCCAGTGGTACTCCCAGCTCGGTGAGAGGGCCAGAGAGCCAGGGAATAAAACTGGGAGGGTGAGGTGGGGCTGGCGTTTGGGGCAGCTCCAACTCACAACATTGGGAATCTTTGCGGGGCTGGGAGTGGGTAATCCTGAGGCCTCAGAACATAGGTTTCAGATAGATAGGCCTGCAGGTCTCTAGGCAGCAACCAGCTGAGTGACTAAAGGGCCCAAGGCCAGGGCTCTAGGGATGGGGCTCAGCAGATGCTGGGGTAAGGGGAGCCAGGGAAGAGCTGGGCCTAATGCAGCACCGGGTCCCCAGGATGCCGTGTCCCGGCTGGAGGAGGAGATGCGGAAGCTCCAGGCCACGGTGCAGGAGCTCCAGAAGCGCTTGGACAGGCTGGAGGAGACAGTCCAGGCCAAGTAGAGCCCCGCAGGGCCTTCAGCAGGGTCAGCCATTCACACGCATCCACTCACTCCCCATTCCCAGTCACACGGCAGATAAAAAAAATCATAATAAAATGGCTTTATTTTCTGGTACCTCTCAGACTCTTGATGACTGGTTCCCTAGACGAGGGGTTTGCTGAACGGACCAGCCATAGAGCTTCCCCTCTACCGCGCTGAGGGGACTGACCCATGGCAGGGGATGTGGGATGCCCCCTGACTTACTACATCACGGGAACAGGGCCTTCGTGGGTAGAAACCAGCCATGCTGATGCGGGGCAGGAGGCTGCTCTCCGTTTCCAAGCTCCTTCTCGGAGCTGACGCAGCTGAGCTATTTAAGGGCCTAGCTTAGGACCTCAATAATTCCCAAATTTACCGAAAATCTGCTTTTCCTAATCAACCAAAACATCAGGTTGCACGTGACTCTGCTGGCACTGTTGCTTGTGAGGAAAGGAACCAACCATCACTTACAGGGTGGGCATCTTTTAAACTGCAGGTCCAAAGATAAAAATAACGAGGGAGGCTGGGCATGGGGACTCACGTCTATAATCCCAGCACTCTGGGAGGCTGAGGCGGGAGGATCACTTGAGCTTAGGAGTTTGAGACCTGCCTGAGCAACATGGCGAGATACCATCTCTACAAAAAATAAAATAAAAAATTAGCTAGGCATAGTGGTACGCACCTATAGTTCCAGCTACTCAGGAGGCTGAGGTGGGAGGATCCCTTGAGCCCAGGAGGTCGAGGCTGCAATGAGCCATCGCACCACTGCACTGCAGCCTGGGTGACAGAGCAAAACACTGTCTCTAAAAAATATAAATAGGCCAGATGTGGCAGCTCATGCCTGTAATCCCAGCACTTTAGGAGGCCAAGGCAGGTGAGGTCAGAAGTTCGAGAGCAGCCTGGACAACTTGGTGAAACCCTGTCTGTACTAAAGATACAAAAATTAGCTGGGCATGATGGCAGGCACCTGTAATCTCAGCTACTCGGGAGGTTGAGGCAAGAGAATTGCTTGAACCTGAGGCGAAGGTTGCAGTGGGCCAAGATCATGCCATTGCACTCCAGCCTGGGGGACAAGAGTGAGACTTCATCTCCAAAAAAAAAAAAAAAAAAAAAAATATATATATATATATGTCTTTATATGTAAAATAAGGGAACTTTATGTGAGGAAAAGACAGAACTAAAGCAACAGGCTGACCCTAGTTTACCAGAGAAGAAACTGAGGCTGAGAGTAGGAACCCAGCTCACTAAAGGGCGGAGCCCAAGTCAGAGTCTAAGTCTCCCCACTTTTTTATTTAATTGTTTCTGAGATGGAGTTTCATTCTTGTAGCCCAAATGGAGTACAATGGCACAATCTCAGCTCACTGCAACCTCTGCCTTCTGGGTTCAAGCCATTCTCGTGCCTCAGTCTCCCAAGTGGCTGGGATTATAGGCGTAAGCCACCATGTCCGGCTAACTTTTGTGTTTTCAGTAGAGGTGGGGCCTCACCATGTTGGCCAGACTGGTCTCAAACTCCTGGCCTCAAGTGATCTGCCTGCCTCAGCCTCCCAAAGTGCTGGGATTACAGGCGTGAGCCGTAATTAGAGCCGTGCCTGGCCCTATGTCTCCCCTTTTGAGTTCAGAGTCTTCCCCTGTGTAGTGAGCGCTTCTGCCTCTCTAGCCCTTCCTGTGGGTTCTGCCTAGGCCTGGCCTCCGTGAGGGACCTGGCAGGAACAGGTCTGTCATGCCTTGTGGGGAGTGGGTGTGGGAATAGGTTTTGATGCCCAACTTAGTGGGTGATCCTGAGATGGGAGGACACAGGGCTGTCTGGGTTGGGCGTCTTAGCCATAGTGGGGTTTGTTTCATATCAAGCAGGGACCACCCATGGCCTCATTTCCAGGCCCCACCTCTTCAGTATGCCATAGAAAACTACCTGGGCAGTAGAGGTGTGGGAAGAAAACAAAAGAAAGCCGGGCGTGGTGGTTCATGCCTGTAATTCCAACACTTTGGGAGGCCGAGGCAGGCGGATCACCTGAGGTTGGGAGTTCAAGACCAACCTGACCAACATGGAGAAACCCCATCTCTATTTAAAACACAAAATTAGGCCGGGCGCGGTGGCTCAAGCCTGTAATCCCAGCACTTTGGGAGGCCGAGATGGGCGGATCACGAGGTCAGGAGATCGAGACCATCCTGGCTAACACGGTGAAACCCCGTCTCTACTAAAAAAACACAAAAAACTAGCCGGGCGAAGTGGCGGGCGCCTGTAGTCCCCGCTACTCGGGAGGCTGAGGCAGGAGAATGGCGTAAACCCGGGAGGCGGAGCTTGCAGTGAGCTGAGATCCGGCCACTGCACTCCAGCCCGGGCGACAGAGCAAGACTCCGTCTCAAAAAAAACAAAAACAAAAAAAAAAAACACAAAATTAGATGGGCGTGGTGGCGCATACCTGTAATCCCAGCTACTCGGGAGGCTGAGGCAGGAGAATCGCTTGAACCCAGGAGGCGGAGGTTGCGGTGAGCCGAGATCATGCCATTGCACTCCAGCCTGGGCAACAAGAGCAAAACTCCGTCTCAAAAACAAACAAACAAAAACAAAAATTAGCTGGGCGTGGTGGCGTGCGCCTGTAATCCCAGCTACTAGGGAGGCTGAGGTAGGAGAACCGCTTGAACCCGGGAGGCGGAAGTTGTAGTGAGCCAAGATTGCGCCACTGCACTCCAGCCTGGGCAACAGAGCAAGACTCCGTCTAAAAAAAAAACCAAAAACAAACAAAACACAGAAGAGAGTGTGTGATGGCTGAAATTTGCAATTTCTCACTCTCAACAAGCCCTGGCCCCAACTGGGGCTCCCTCCCTAGGTCTCAGGGACCTCTGTTCAAAGTCCTAGCAACCTGGGCCAGGCACAGTGGCTCCCACCTATAATCCCAGCACTTTGGGAGACCAAGGCAGGCAGATCACTTGAGGCCAGGAGTTTGAGACCGGCCTGGCCAACATGGTGAAACCTTGTCTCTACTAAAAGTACAAAAATTAGCCAGGCATGGTGGCGCATGCTTGTAATCCCAGCTACTCAGGAGGCTGAAGCACAAGAATCTTTCGAAGCTAGGAGGCAGAGGTTGCAATTAGCTGAGATGGTGCCACTGCACTCCAGCCTGGGTGACAGAGCAAGACCCTGTCTCAAACAAACAAAAAACAATGAAAGAAAACAAGTCCTAGCAACCCTACTAACCTGTGGTGAAGACTGATACCGGGGCATCACCTGCCCCAATTTTCTGACTCAGTTCAGCCTTATATTCCTGCTCTCATCTCACCCCTATCCCGGTCCCACACCCACTATTCCGAAAACTTCCATGGTCCTCCAGGGGGCAGCTGTAGACACACCAAGCCCAGGGCTATGGAGCCACTGGAACCTTCTCCAGCGGGTCTGAAAACATCAGCATTCCAGGTGTTGATGAGCCCCTACTTGGGCACACTCCCTCTTGGGCCTGAGAAGGTCGGGGGAACCTGCAGGGAATATGTGGAATTCTATATGGTGCCTCTGATACTGCAGTGATGTCGGGGAGAGGGAGAGGTTTGTTCAACTGGTCAGGGCCCTGAAACCCGGATCACTTTCTCATCTCTGCATCTTGAAGGCTGGCAGAGAGCAGGAACCCTGAGCTCTCTGGGAGTTGGGTGGCTGGTGGCAGTACAGACTTCCAGACGTCTACACAGAGTTACAGAGAGAAGGCTTTCTCGGTAGACCCTGGAAGGGACTTTTACAGTAGAACTTTCATTTTACAAGCAGGGATAGAGGCCTAGATGGGGAGCTGGACGTGTCCAAGGTAAAACAATGGACGGAGGCGGGGCAGGGAGAGGCCAGGTCCTAGACTCGGCCTCAGCACCCCTCCCACACACACACCGACACAGAAGCTGGTCCAGATTTATAATTTAATGGCTGTGTAGATCCCAGTCTCTCATTTCTGTCGCTCACGTGCCCACTGCTCTGGGGTCAGGGTTTTCTGTTCAAAGGCATGGATGTGCGGGAGCTCTTCTGCTAGGCACGCGTTTACCAGCCTGGGGCGAGAGATGGGGTTAGGAAAAGGCAGGCGAGGATCGCACACCCCGAGACTAGGGTGACCCAAGAGACTGTGGGTGTCTCCAAGGTTGTAGTCCCCGGGCCGTGGGAACACGTACGTGGGGAGAGGGTCTACATCGAAATACTCGAAGCAGGGGTCACGAAGGCGGGATCCTCAAGGGCCCTGAGCCACGCCGCGGGGGAGTGCGGGAGTTAGGTTGCAGGGGTAGGGGGAGTGGCTGGGGTTGTGGTGCAGGAGCTGAGACCGCGCTGGGCAAGGTGCTCCCAGGGCCTCACCTGTGTCTCTGAAGCAGCGGTTTCCCCTCGAACTTGGCCGACACCACCAGGACTCGGAAGCTACAGGCGCAACGGTTGAGGGTCGTGTCCTCCACCTCCTACCGAGCGGAAGAATATGAATGGTGCCGAACCCGCCTCCCGAGCTCTTTTCTCCCGTCCGGCGGCTCAACTCACCACATGCTCCGCCTCCAGGTCCCGCTGCAGCTTCTCCCGGAGGTATTCGGCGCTGAGTTCCATGGCGGTAGTCCAGCTGGGACGGCAGCCCAGCGGGGACACAACCCCTGCTCCGACGCCGGCCACGCTGCCTTGCAGCCTTACAGGAGCCACTTCCGCTGGGAAACTCACTTCCGCCCTTAGTAAGGCGTACGTCAACGCAGTACTTCCGCCCTCAAGCAGCCGGGCTTTCCAACGGTCCGGGCTTTTCGCGCTTGCCATCTGTCAGCCAATCAGAGTCTGAGGAAGGTGGGACTCGGGCGGAGCCAATGCTGAATGGTAGGCGCTCGCTGACTGGACAGCAGTCTGGCTTCCGCGGTCGGACTTCTACACCCGCCTCCAGACCGGAGAGGGGCACGTACCCGCGCTACGGCGGCCTCCAGGCTGCCTCCGGATAGTCCCCGAGAGCTTGTTCCGAAGCAAGCACCCTGCAGCACTAGCGATCCACCCCTCCCCTGGACCCTAGGTCACGGCAATCAACCCCCTGCTGCGGTTCCCGAACCACAAGGCCCGATGGGTCCCGCGGGGGTCACGGCGAGGCCAGGGCGCTTCTTCGGCGTCTACC